CTTTTGCTTTCCTCCTTATAAATAACTTCCACAAACTTAGAATCTAGGGATATTCATCATATTATTAGCATGCTTCAGTTCCTTTCTTGTCCAAACATCTTGGCATGAAATATATGGGTCTCTACAGACTTGCAGGTTTCAACTCTTGCCTTGCTATGTCCTAGCTTTGTGACAAGAGCAAAGCACACTCTGTGTACCTCAGGATAATCACAATGGGATATAGCTCAAAGATGTGTGTGTTTGTATCTATGTTTTCAGTGAATAAGTTAGTGTGTATAAAATGATTACAACAGTGCCTGGCACATATAGGCATTATATATAGTCCCTACTGTTATTATTGTTTCATCTTGACCAAGTTTCCTCACTGTTATCTTAAAAACCTACCTTCTCCCATCCCTACCCTATGCTCTATACATCCATGTATGTATACGCATGCACATATACCTACATGCATGTGCACACACATATACACACACACAGAATATGCTCTAGTCAGATCAAACTAACTGAATACTTAGAGAAATTTCACCATAGTTTCATGCCCCAACCCTTTCATTTGCCATCCCCTCTACCTGGAATTCCATCCTTTTAACATAGCTGACCATCAATTTTTCTGCTAAATATTCAAATTTAGCTCAAGCAATTTTCTCCAAATTTATTTGCCCTATTGCCATTTTCCAGCCTCCTTTCATCATTGGGATGCAGGACATGACTATGGTCCTGATGGCAGTTTACTGAAATGTACAAAGTATTCTTTCTCTTGCCAGCCTGTGGATATCTGGAGGGCAGTGACTTGTGTTTCACCCATGTTGTATCACCAGAGGTTTCTGCACAGAGTAGCAGCTCAGGTGTTTCTTGCTAGAATAAATGACTTAGTAATTACCACTTCTAGGTAACTTAAGCATTTTTTAAAAAGGGGTATTTCAAAAAGAAATAAAAAACCAGAGTCTTGAATCCAAGTTCTATCTCTACCTTCTTGACATGCTGTAACAAACATTCTCCTTTCCTTTTTTTCTTTTGTCCTTCCTTCATTCCTTTCATGAACACTTGCTGTGAATTAGTGATGTGCTGGTACCATGCTAGGCACTGAGGATACATAAATTATAGGAACATCATTGTCTTTTCCTTGAACACCATGAAAATTTAATTTTCAAATCCTTTGTATTGACTTAGGGAAAATACTCGTTCACCTAGCAAAATAGCAAAATATCGTTTATCTTTAACATGTAAAGAAATAGTCCTGAATAGACATTACATTTTCTGAATTCTAATGAAATTTGCCATTATAAAATAAATGTATGTTAAAAGCGCTATTACAACATAATTCTATATTAGAATTTTTAATCATTCAGTAAACTGCTTATAGTGAGTACATTACTTTATTTCATATTTTACCCAGAATTTTACCTAGAAAATGTTGAACTCTTTATCCGATTGGTTATAAACACTGGGAAAAGACGTAAGAAGGCTAATCTTCAAACTCCAGGTCTGGAAGTTTATCAGTAATTTTAATGTCTACCACACTGGGGTTAAGATAAGGATCTGAAGCAGATGATACATATATCCTTCTGGTCGCAGTATAAATTGTTGTACTTATTGAATCACATGTGAGCATTATTGGGAAGGATACAAAGGGAGGATATTGTGAGGACGTGGGAAAGAAAAAAGTTACAGAAGTGACAATATTCTAAAGATGCTCATGGTTGTGAGAAGAGGACCTGCAGGCACCATACACAGATGGAGTGATTTGACTCATGCAGAATCATTTTCACACAAACTAAGAACCAAGCTGTAGCATAATGCTAGGGAAGCAGTAGTAATCCACCTAATAAAGACTCTGGAAGTATTTCTTGGTGATGATAGGCAAAAACATTATCTGATAACAATGTATAATCAAACTTTGGGCATCAGACTCGGTGGGATAAAATAGTTGAAGGACCAAGAGAAGGTGATCAGAAAGCAGTGCAACAAAATTTTATCTCTTGTTCTCTTTTCAGTTCCAAAATGTTTCTACTCTAGGTCTGCAAGAAAATATATCTGCTAGGTTTCCAATAATTCTAAGTCCCCGGAGAAATCTTCCCAAATGCTTAAAACTAAGTTTTTTTTAAAAAAAAATTATAAGGTTTTAAAAGCTTCTGTGTAACAGAATTATATATTAATCAGCTATAATTATATATTCTAAACTATAACTTTAATATTTTATTAACCACATTAATTACATAGTAACCAAACTATTGACTCAAATGTGAAAATATTTTAGTGTATAATACAATTCAATTAGTTTTTTTTTTTTTTTTTTTTTTTTGAGACGGAGTTTCGCCCTTGTTTCCCAGGCTGGAGTGCAATGGCACGATCTCAGCTCACCGCAACCTCCGCCTCCTGGATTCAGGCAATTCTCCTGCCTCAGCCTCCTGAGTAGCTGGGATTACAGGCACGCACCACCATGCCCAGCTAATTTTTTGTATTTTTAGTAGAGACGGGGTTTCACCATGTTGACCAGGATGGTCTAGATCACTAGACCTCGTGATCCACCCGCCTCGGCCTCCCAAAGTGCTGGGATTACAGGCTTGAGCCACCGCGCTCTGCCTTTCAATTAGTTTTATTATATGTTTATTAACTCTATGGGACAATCTATAATACCAGGTGCTTTCTATACCAGTAAAACTTTAATCTTTTTTTAACAAGAACAAAGTAAGTCTGAACAGTTAAGAACATGCTGTGGCTGCCTTGAACTTGGTCTACACAAATCTAAGCTTATGTTGCTTCTGCAACTATCATACTGTAAATGATGATATAGGTGGCAAATACAGATGATTTCAAGATAATTTTGCATAAATTGATAATTAGACCTAGCTGGAAATTTTCACTGAAAACTAGTGAAATTTTTTGGCATGCATTTCCTAATCATGATTTTCACAAAGGACAAACATCTTATACAAGCATTACTTTATGCCAAAGTCACAAAGAAAATATCAGATTATATATATATGTCTTGAAAAATTTGTCAGTTCTTACAAAATTATGAAATATATAAACTATAATTAAGACAACATTTGAAGAGGCAGAAGTCAAAACAGCAAGATGTATCGGGATTGGCTCACTGACAGCAAGCTGTGGGAATTAGGAGACCTGGACCCAGAGTCAGCTTCATCAGTAATCAGGTGTCATCACCTTGAGCAAATCAGTTTTCCTCTCTTGGGCTTTTGTTTCTTCATCTGTAAAATTAGGAGGCTGGACTATATTTTCTCTAAGACTTCTTCTACCTCTTAAATTCTATGAGCCATAATCTTTAGAGAGTTTTGGTCTTATCATTATAACTTCTATTGTAAAAATAATGTCAGTCTACAAATCTGACACTATCAGCCAGGATTCAAAAGTACATTAGCAAATGTCCTCTAAGCTGTGACATTATTGGTCACAGTATGTTGAAACATTCTTTTGAAAGCTCCTTGAAGTAATTCAAGAGTGTTAAAAAAATCACATCCTAAATCATACAAAGGTATTGCTCCAGACCCATTTCATTTACCTGAGACTTTTGAAAATTAACACAACCAACCCTAGAAAAAGTTGTAAAGGTTGTTATTTCCAAGCCTCAGCCTTCTCTCTTCTTGGTGCCCTGGAGGTGCCAATACTATTTGTCTATTTATATCATCTTCCACTTTTATGAAGATGGAAGGATTTATAATAATTAGCCATTTGAGTTTATCTCCTAATTATTTTGAGAAATGGAAACTTAGTTACAGTGAAGTCTTAGCCCAGCCCACACATTTGCATTTTATGCTTCTTTTTGCAAATAGCATTATAAAGACTTTTACCCTATTAATAGTAAGTTTAAAGGGTAATATTCTAGAAGGGAATCATTTTCGAGACAAAGGCATGTGTATTTATTAGCTTACTGACATGACTTGGCTATGCCACCACCCAAATCTCATCTCAAATTGTAATCTCCATAATCCCCAGGGGTGGAGGGAAGGACTTGGTAGGGGGTGATTGGATTATGGGGGCAGTTTTCCCCATGCTGTTCTCATGATAGTGAGTGAGTTTTCATGAGAGCTGATGGTTTTATAAATGGCAATTTCCCCCAGGCTTTTCTGTCTTTCCTACCACCCTGCGGAGGCCCTTGCTTCTCTTTTGCATTCTGCATGATTATAAATTTCCTGAGGCCTCCCAAGCCATGTGGAACTGTGAGTCAATTAAATCTCTTTCCTTTATAAATTACACAGTCTCAGATAGTGTCTTTATAACATGTGAAAACAGACTAATAATACGCACATTTCCAGATTACAAGAAGGGCAGAGGTGGAGCTGCCCTTCAAGAGAGCTCCACTGCCATCGGCTCTCTTTTCTCATTACTTGTCTTATACTCTGTGGATATCTGTCTCATTCTTCCAAATCTTTACCGTTTTGTGTATTAGCCACTAGCCATGTATGGCTATTTAAATTTAACTTAATTAAAATTAAATAAAATGTCATTTATTCAGCTCCTTAGTTTCATTAGTCACATTTAAAGTGTTACACTACCTTCTCCAAAAGGACTTGGTTGTAAGCAAGCAGGACTCATGTTACAGATTTCTCACCATATATATATATATATATATATATATATATATATATATATATATGTTTACTTATTTATTTTAACCTTGATGGCAATGTATTAAAAGTTCTTTGAAAAGGATTCTTACTGGCTCGACTGGGTCTTGTGCACAATGTTTGAACTCTCACGTGGTTTGGGGAGGCAGGATGAGGGAAGTGACTGGCTGTTTCCATTCAGATTCCATGGCTAAAAACGGAGGTAGGGGAATAGCACACCTGGTAAGATATGCCTGTATAATCTGTCTTTGCTCCCTACATCGATCTTTTTATTTTATGTTCAGGGATATATGTGCAGGTTTGTTACAAAGGTAAACCTATATTATAGAGGTTTGGTTAGATTATTTCATCACCCAGTTATTAAGCTTAGTACCCATAAGTTTAGAGAGGAACAACATTACATTGATCTTTTTTTTTTTTTTTTCTCTCATGCTCACTTTATTTGGGAGCAGGGGCAGAAGAACCTAGGCCTGCTGTGCCCGCAAGAGTGCCCGCAGGAGTGCCCGCACCTGGCGGATCTGCCAGTCGATGCTGGAGCGCGCAATGCCGCCCAGGACACCGTACTGCTGCACACTGTGCCCGTGGTCCCACACGCGGTTCACGTCACTCAAGAACAGGGGGCTGATGATCTGCAGCTCCTGCAGTGACAGCTGGTTGAGGGCGACCCCCTTGGTCTCAGCCATGAACACAGCTTTCGCGGAGGCCTCTTGGGCCTGGCGGAATGGCATTCCTTTTCGGACCAGGTAATAGGCGAGGTCAGTGGCCAGCAGGTCGGGGCTGAGAGCCTGTCCCGTGTTCTCTCGGTGAATCTGCAGCGTAGAGATGACGCCAGTGGCCACCTGGAGCACAGCACTCGTGGCGTCTGACACTTCAAACACGGCTTCTTTGTCCTCCTGTAGGTCTTTGTTGTAGGTGCTGGGAAGTCCCTTGAGGGTCATCAGGAGCCCGGCACACCGCCCAAACACACGCCCAGCCTTGCTCCGGATCAGCTCCAAGCTGTCGGGGTTTTTCTTCTGGGGCATCAGGCTGCTTCTGGTGCTGTAGGCATCCGAGAGCTGCACGACACTGAATTCCTGGGTGCCATAGAGGATGAGGTCCTCAGCCGTCCCGCTAAGGTGAGTCAGACACAGCGAAGCCCAGAACAAGAACTCGGCCACAAAGTCACGCTCGCCGGTGGCATCCATGCTGTTGAGAGTGACAGCCCCGAAGCTGAGTTCTGCTCGGAGCAGCTCTCGGTCCACACCCAGGGGATTGCCTGCAACGGCCCCGCTCCCCAGGGGCAGGACACAGATCCGCTTCCGCACCTCCGGCAGCCGCTCTGAGTCTCGGTCAGCGCCGCGGCGTGGCTCAGAATCCAGTGGCTCCAGCGGATGGGTTGGGCCCTCTGCAGGTGGGTGTACCCTGGGAAGAGGACATCACATTCCGCCTCTGCCCGATCCACCATGGTCCTGATGAGCTCCCAGAGAGGCCCGAGAGCATGGGGCAGGTCCGCCGCAACCGCAGCCTGAGGTCCGTGACCACCTGGTCGTCCCGGCTGCGCCCCGCGTGCAGCTTCCCTGCGGTCTCGCCAACGAGCTCCTTCAGCCGGCGCTCGTTGGCTGTGTGGATGTCCTCATCATTGGGGTTGAGTTTGAAGGTGCCCTGGGCCCACTCCTCAGCTACCTCGTCTAGGCCATGGAGTATCTGGTCCATCTCCGCCTTGGTGAGGAGCCCTGCCTTCTCCAGGCCCCTGCTGTAGGCTTTACTGCCTTGAACATCCACCTTCCACAGCTGCCGGTCGTAGGTGATGGATGCGTTGAACTTCTCCGTGATGGGGTCCACTGCACCCACAAACCGGCCACCCCACAGCTTCCCGCTCTCCGAGGCCATGCTGGGCGGTTCCTCGTCGTCCGGAGGCCTCGGTCCTTCGGGTCTCAGCCTGGCCCCGCGGTCAGTCTACATTGATCTTAAGTGTTACCATCGGATATGTTTTGACAAATGCATATACCCTTATGATCTACATAACGATGTGCTGGTTAAGATAGAAAACTTCAATTACCCTGGAAAGTTCTCTCACGCTCCCTCTCAGTCAATCTCAATCCCCCACCAAGTGATATTTTCCGTCATAGATTAATTTTGTCTATGTATTTTTTCCACACGGGCACACATTATTTTATAAGATAGTAGAGTTTTTAAAAGCATATTTTTTGTGTAGAGAAACTAAGATTTGATTCCTGACTCTTACGTTAGTTATTTAACTATCCTGGGCCTCAGGTTTCTTTTAAGTATTAATACATGTGGACAATAATTAACAACTCATTGGGTACTATGTTTATGACCTTGGTGATTAAATAATCTGTACATCAAACCCCTGTGACATGCAATTTACCTGTACAACAAACCTGCACATGTACCCCTAATCCTAAAGTAAAAGTTAAAAAAAAGAGCGACTATTTCACAGGATTGTCATAAAGAGTATGTGAGACAATGAATATAAAAAAAGATTAATAAGTCAGTGTAACTGTTTGAAACAGGATATTCAGCAAATGCTAGCTTTTATTTTTATATAATCACAGATGTTTAAGGTTCTTACTCCATAACTAATATTTGAACTCTCTCTTATCTGTAACAGCGTAGAAGAGTTTAACTTTTGTATTCTCTGATCCAATGTGAAGAGGAACAATAGGTCAAGTGTTCCCATACTTTTAAGTAAAAGATTAGGGGGCATGGAAGGAAAGTTAAAAATGAAAGTTCCTAAAAAGCAAATTAAAATGTAGCACTGATGATATTCAAGTTTTTTTGATAAAATGTTTGAGCAATATCAAAACTTTGGAAGCACATAACCCAGTTTTATGAGCCTTGGAAGAACTTTACAACAGCTACTCCTGAAGTTTTATTCTGCCAGTTTTATGGATGACTCATCACAGACCAGATTTTCAATGAAACAGTTGATGATATAAACTAACCTCCTATAAAACAACTCTAATACAAATCCCATTTTTACATAATTCAATTTAATAGAACTGTCATTTTATGGAATGACAGTCACTGGGTAGCTTGTGGTTTCATGTGTTTTCTCCAGAGCGGGAGGCAGTTTCTTGCTTTGCACTCTGCTTTGAGCAAGAGGAAAACAGATTTTCTAGAGAATAAATAAGCATGGGATTCTGTAAAAGAGGAGAAGAGTGGGTCTGCCAGGCTAGAGTCTGCCTTGATTTCGAGGTTGGTCAGGGATTAGCCCTGTGAGGGAGACAGATGAACCCTGCTGATCTGCGGTTGCTTCTGAAACATCGGCTTCAGTGAGTGCAAAGAAAAAGGAGCAGGGTGTGCTGAGGCAGGGTTTTGAAGTAACTCTTTAACTGCAGCACCAACAAGGGTTCCATCAAAATATAAAACCACTTTTAAAACCCTCTCTAGTCATTATAATAAGAGTCTTAGAATATATCTGTTTTTTAAAATGTTTTGGAACATGTGAAGAATGGATGTTATTCTGGAAGACACTGACTGTTCTTCACTGTCTCCCAACTTGATCACCTCATCTATCACTGCCTAACTTCCAAGAGAAAGACAATCCCTGGCTTCTTTTCCTGAAGGGTGCTCTCCTATCCCAGAAGACTAGTTTGCCACCCTCATGACAGTCTGGAAGAGCCAGGAAAATAACCATCAGGGAGCAGTCTGCATCAAAAACATCCAATGACCAATGGGCATTGACATATGGAAGCTGAGCTACGTTCCCTTCCTGTGGGGCTTCCCTTTCCTGTCTCAGTTCCCCATAATCCTGTGGTATTTCTTTCAATTGCCAAATAAACCAACTTGTATGAATCTTTAACTAAAAATCTGCCTTAAGAAGGATTCAACCTGAGACAGGCATTACCCAACTGGTAAGGGAAAATATTCTTTACCAAAGCAAGTGTGATATTGGCCGAAGGCAGAGAAGAGGGAAGTTGAGACCCACTCTCTCACAAACTCCTCTGGCCTTCCTTGTCTGAATTCAATAAGGTCAACAAATATTTATAAAGTGAGGCCAACATGTAACACATTTCCCCAAAGATATTTAACAAGAGTAGAAATGTATAATAAGGTAGTTCATTCCATACTGGAAGTTTAACAAATTTTACAAAATTCCTCCCAAAGGAAAGTAAATCTATATACTTTTTAAAATTTTCTCAAGGTGAATTCTCCTTGGAATGGCATTTCTGATCAATTCCATAAAATGGCAATTTTGTCAGAATCACTTATCTAGTGATGAGTTTCAATTGCTTAATGATTTTTAGCTTCTGATGGTTTAGAATTACCTTGAACTAACCCTGATAACATGGATGGGTTAATTATGTTTTTGAAGGAATTGTATGACAGTAAGATGTGTATTCAGCTCAATATATCTTTCTTATAAGAAATCATGTTTACTTTTAGTAGATTGATGATTGTACTTTTGTTAAGATAATAACTTTAAGGAAAGGACATCTTTGAATGCAAAAAAACATATTCTGTATAGGTAGCTTCCAAGTAAGTGGTTCACTGGATTATTTAAGAGCTATATATTATTTTTACATCAATTTCCCCTTACTGTCAAAATTTTAAAATGTAGTTGAGGTTTACAAACCAGAAGATTCTATGCATTTATAGCTAAAAATTTGCTCTCCATGTACATAATATTTATGTATCTGTGACACGCATCATTTGATTTAACGTCTGCTTAACTGAAATGTGATGAGTTGACATTATCAAACTGAGCAGATTTTCTGAAACTTTAAGCCAAATGTTCCCTGTTATGTATGGAAGGAGTGGCAAAGCAGGAGGTCAAGGCCAGCAAGGGGCAGTGTATAAAAGCACCAGATACTGTCACATAGGGTTAGTCCAATATTATCATTAAAATCCATTTGAGTAGAGCAGATAAGTCAATGATCTTATATGAATATTTAATTATAGTATTTCTACTAATGCTATTTTTCCCTGAATTATTGTTGCAATACAATATAGCCTGTTTCTTAAAGGAATAAATCTGAACTTTACAACAATCCAAGGAAATGAAGACCTTTTAAAAAAATAACTATAGACTGAAGATTATAAAACCTGGGCAATACATTTAATGACTCCTTGTAAAATTTAGGATGAACAGAATCTTTTAAATAACAATGTTAATGTCCAGTGCATTTTATTTTGCAATTGGAATATTACTCTGAACTGCTAAGTCATATTTGATCTTCATTAATACAATAAATATTTATTGAGTGTCTTCAGGGTGCCATGCACGATACTAGTGTCGGGTTGAAAGGCAAACAAGATGAACAGGAATTTTTCCCTTCTGGAAATAACAAACCCAGATGTGTAAATGTAAACAAAGTTGAATGGTAAATACAATGACATTCACTGTATCAAATGAGTATTTTGACTCCTGAACTGTATAGAACCCTACACTGAATGAATGTTAGAATAACAATAGTTTTTATTTAAGCACACACTTTGTACAGCAAAAGAGCATTTACATGATCTCATTTAGTCCTTATCGCACCCTTAGGAATTATGTAAAGAAGTCGATCTGGGTACTTAAAGAATATGAGATTTAAAGAATATGAGAGTCCTTCTTTAAGAAAATGAATGCATTATTTCATTCAAAAGTTCTACAACAATGTATAGCATTGCACATATACTTGTTTGGGTACTTGCAAATGTAGCCTTGAAGTGTGATCTTTGTTGACTTCACAATGAAGCCTCTTCCTGACACTATTATTTTACTAACTTCTCAGGTGAGGAAATTGAAGCCTAAAGAGCTAAGGCCAATTTAAAAAGGAAATTTAGTCTAGGTGAAAATCAATATAGAATGCAGACTGTTAGGCAGAAAAATTAATACCATGGGCCTCGGTAACCTGGATCCTCTCAATTCCTTAGAAAAGCAATGAAGGCCTCTTAGTTACCAATTTAATTCATTCAGGCATTGGTTGACAGGTGACATTAAGATATTTCTACAGATGGAAACACAAAAATTATGAGGTATTCATTCTTATTGCTAATATTTGTATCTAAATTAGAGAACACGTCTTGGGGACTGGGATATTTGAATCTAGCTCCCATTGGGTTACTTAAAATCTTTCAACTCATGAGTTTCTGATGAAAAGTGTTCTACTCTCCAGAATAGCCATACTAGTCATATTATTTAATTTCCAGCATTAGTGTTTGGGTGAATTAATTCATGAATTGCCCAACATGCAACAATGTCACATATTCTGTTAAAGTAGCTAAAAGGAATATGGCATTTGATGGATTTTAAGTGTCATCATGTAAATAAATAAGAAATACTAATGTCACTGAGTTAAATAAAGTAGGTTTCACAATTTTATCTATTTAGTTTTCAACACTAATCTTTCCATGATGTTTAACTCAGCTGCAGAAGACCAAAGGTTGATCAACAGCCAAGGCTTACACTCAGAAAAGTGCACTGAGATTTATGGCTACCACAGAAGCATAATTTAAAAATATAAAGAAAGCTTCTTTTTAATTTTGAGGTTTGCCAACAGAATTGGACATGTATTGAAATTTCACTTTTTAAAAATGATACTTTTATATGCACATAAACAACTCTGCTGAAATGAAATTAATCTGGATATGGCAATTTAGATTCATAGAAGCTAATATGTTAAAAATTAATCAATTACTCCCCAGTCCTTGATAAAATTCAGTATTTTCCAAGGGCACTTCTACAGCAGCCGACCAATGGTGTAAGGTGCTACGCTGTTGAGAGCACTTTAGACTTTCAGACTGAATCAATGAGAAACATTTTTAAACACAAGACAGTCCTTGTAATCACGTCATCTAATGCTCAGGTAAACCCATTAATGGGGAGATATCAGCAGGGCTCATCAAATAATCAATTTTAGTCACCTAGAAGAACACAATATACTGGACAGAAACCAATGATCATCTATGAAGAGCAT